TAGAGCTCAAGAACTATCAAAAGAAGAAAAACCAAAAACAAAAATGTTTNAGAACAGCTGGTTGCAAGAACCTGAATTTAAAGGCTGGCTTCAACCAGTGAAGAATAATTTACATTTAGCTCATTGTATAGCTTGCAATGTTACAATCAAATGTGGCAAGAGTGATTTACAAAAACATGGTAGTGGAATAAAGCATGTGAAGCTAGTTAAANGCATTCAAGGAGTACCTAATGTGATACAATCCTTTAAATCAGGAAAGTCAGGAGAAGTTAAACTTCGAGAAGACGTGAAAAGAGCAGAGATAAAGTTAACTGCATTCTTTGCTGAGCATAATGTGGCTATTCAAACAGCTGATCATCTCATAGAATTATGTAAGAAAATGTTTCATGACTCTCAGATAGTAAAAAGAATGACTCTTGACAAAACAAAATGTACCGCAATTTTGACGAATGTGATTGCTAAGACTGTTCAAGAGGAGATAGCTTTGCACCTTCAGAATACCCCATTCTCTGTTTTAGTAGATGAGAGCACTGACAAAAGCAATAATAAGAACTTATGTGTACTTGTGAAATACATACATCCAATCACAGGTAAGTCCAGTGCAGTAAGCGGCTCATGAGCAATTGCGTTTTTGTATTGGAANTACTACTTGCTTTTTATTTTTTTTCAGTTTTTAAATTTTTAAAATTTGTGTGAATGAGGGACGTCCTCGGGTTCTTTATATAAAAATAATTGTGTAAAATGTTCGGCCAGTAGGAACCAGAAGCAGGGTGTTTTTTGCAAAGATATAGTCGAGTTTAAATTTTTAATTTAATTTAATTTAATTTTTTACTTTAATTTAATTTTTTTTTGTTTTACAGGAAAAGTGCGATCACCTTTGCTTGAACTTATCAAACAGGATTCGAAGGATTGCTCTGCTCAAGCCCTATATAACTCCTTCAAGGCTGCCTTGACAAAACACAACATTCCAGTGAAAAATATTATTGGTCTTGCCAGTGACAATGCCAACGTTATGGTGGGGGCCCATAACTCATTTGCCAGTCGACTTGCAGCTGAATGCGAAGGGTTAGTAGTGTTGGCCTGTATATGTCACTCAGCATCTATCTGTGCTAGCAATGCATGTGCTAAACTCCCAGCCAGTGTGGGGGAGCTTCTTCGAAACATGTCTACCTATGTCTCCTCTAGTTCGAAACGATCCGCTTTCCTTATGAGCTTCCAGGAGTTTTACAAACAAGAGCAACTAAAACTTATTAAACCAGCGCAAACAAGATAGTCATGCACGCATGTGTGGTTCGAGCTTTAGATAAGTGGGATGTTCTCACAGAATTTTTCAGACTTTGTACCTTTGAAGACCAGAAAGACAAGGAAGCCTTTGCCATTTTAAAATCTTTACAAAATCTATTCATCAACGGCTATCTTCTGTTTCTAAAATATACACGTAATTATTTTATTAAGCTAAATGGCCTGTTTCAGTTTTCTAAAATTATAATTCACAAGCTCCATGAGTGTTCTGTAGATCTCATGAAACAGCTCTGTCAGAACTTTATGAGAGCGAATATTATGCCTAGTATAGAAACCATCGACGTTACTCATCCTCACTTTCAGGTCTTCTTTGTCTTATTATTTCTTGAGATGAAACATGCTGAAAGTCATGACTAAATTTCCTACGTTTTTTTACAGGTGAGATTGGAAAATATATTCCTCGGACCAGAAGTAGAAAAAGTGTTGCAGAGCGTTCCTGTTTTCACTGACTCGGAAGGCAGGATAAGTCGAGAACAGCTAGTTTTACAGCGTGAAAATGAAATAAAAACGTTTCGTTTTCGCTGCCTTGATTTTTATGTTACGGCTGCAAAGGAGATCAAAAGCCGACTACCTATAAACAAGCCTATGTATAAAGAAATGCGCTTTATTTCCCCAACAGTGGCGTTGTCGGGTGACGCGCGAATGGAACTTCAAAACTTGCCTCTACTCTGTCGGAACTTCAAGG